TCGTTGCTTCCTTGAACTCCCTTTGAAAAATGAAGCTATCCCAGGAAACAGATTTGTTCTTTCCCAACTCACACTTCAGGGGAATTAGAAGTAGAGGGGCATGATAGGTGGTCTACTGGGCTTTTTGGACTTGTTAGGTCCTGTAGCTTGTTTTAGTTCTATGAATGTCTTTTACTCATTGAACATATATTTATTAAATGTCTACTCTAGGCAAGGCACTTTGCTAGGGGCTGGGACTTCAGATACAAAAATGAAACAAGCTGGTCCTCCATAGGCTTGCATTCCTTAGGATATTAACATATAAATGGAAAATCAAATATGATGTATTTTCTTTTTTTCCTCTCCCTTGGATTAAAAAAAAATTTATTATGACAATGTCCCTATGCAGAAAACAAAATAGGAGGATAGTATATGAACCTATGAATCTTCCCTATGTACAGCCTAGAATTGAGGAGGTGGATGGATGGATGGATGGATAGATAAATAGATATGAATATACATCTATACCTATCTGTATCTGTAAATGTGTGTATATATACACACATGTATAGACGTATATATATATATGTACATAAATATATGAATATACGTCTCTATCAATCTATAAATCTAACACGATAGCTTATCTGTGCCCCTTATTTTTATGTCTGGCTTTTTTCTCTTTATGTTTTTAATTATTCATTGACACTGCTGTCTTTGCTTCATTGTTTGAAGTATCACTATCATTATTCTCTCCATTTCCCCCTCCCCATAAAAAATAAATGCCCTGCTTATATACAAGGTACTCTTTGGGGGCATTTTTCTTTAAAAATTTCCCCCAAATCATTATTTATTTATTTTTACTATTCTTTTTAAAAAAAAAATTGAGTTCCAAATTCTCTCCCTTTCTCCAGCTCCTTCCCCACATTGAGAAGGCAAGCAATATGATATCAATTATGCATGTGAAACCACATAAAACATTTTCATATTAACCATGTTGTAACAATAACAATAACAAAAAACAATAAAAATAAAGAAATTGAAAAAAGTATGCTTCAGTCTATACTCAGAGTTCCTCAATTCTCCCTTTGGAGGTAGAGATCATTTTTCATCAAGGGTCCCTGGGAATTGTCTCAGATCATTGTCTTGATCAGATTAGCTAAGTCATTCACTATTGATCATCATTGCAGTAGTGCTGTTACTACATATACATGGCAAGAGAAGGCAAGTGCAGGGTCAGAAATTTCAAGCTATAAGGTACCTTAAAGGCTTTCTAGTCTGAACCTGTCCCATTATGGATGAGGATGCTCTGGACCCAGAGAAGCGGGCCTTGCATCTTACCTAAAGTCATACAGATGAGTAGAAGAGCAAAGACCTACTCCCTGGCACCCTGACTCTGAATCTGGCACTCTCTCCAATGCAACATGCTGTGTCTTAAAGAAGGTGCATGAGCTGTGCTGGGCCATGGAGTGTCATGTGGAGTAGAAAGCTAGAACAGGAAGGCTTATCTGCATGTAGTGTAGATCAAGGTCTGCCTGGAGGTCTTCAAGCAGAGTCAGCTCCAGGATGTAGGGAAGTGAGTGCTGAGCTTGGGGTCAGGAACACCTGAGTTCGTATCTTGTCTCAAATATTTAACAGCTGCATGATGTTGGACAAGTCACTCGCTTAGTCTTGTTTTTCTCATCTGTTAAATGGAGAATAGCAACTACCTCAGAGGGATGCTGTGAGGATCAAAGGTGACTTCATTTAAGCTGTCTCAACCTCAGTTTCCTCAACTATAAAATGGCGATAATAGCAGCTACATCCCAGAGGTGGTGTGAAGATCAAATCAGATAATATACTTGAAGTGGTTTCTAAACCCTAAAATGTTCTATGATAACCATTATAGTGATCAGTGTCTTACCCTTCTACCAGACCATAAGCTCCAGGTTTATAAGGGCCCATGTCTTATAAAAAGGGCAGGTGGGTGGTGCAGTGACCAGTCCTGGAGTCAGAAAGATCTGAGTTCAAATCCAGCCTTGGACACTTATTAGCTATGTGACCTTGGGCAAGTCACTTTCTACTTTCTCCTCCTCCTCATACTTTTATTGAGGGAGGGACAGTCTCACCGAAGGGAAAATAAGAACAGGAACCAGGGATTCAAGCATTCAGTGCCGTAAAAGAGGCTCATACCTGATATATATGCCCTTTCAACAAATGTGGGATTTCAAAACATGAACGAGTGTCAACTTTAGACAGTACTCAATATATGACAACCTCAAGAGTTGAGGCGTGCAGATATTTCTTTTCTATATTTAATTTTTAAAGAGTACACCAGGCTAATTATGGGAAAATACTTACTTTACCACTGCAAGACAGCATTATATTGTCATACTCCTTGTACACATACATAGCCTGAAAAGTTTTTAGTTTTCCAGATTCAATTTAATTAAAATTAATTTTTAAAAGCCAACTGATAAGTTTTTCAAAAACAAACTTAAATACAGTTCTAAGAAAAGTACTCTCACAGGTAGATATATTCATTTAATCTATATTCATCTGAAAATGAGCTGGAGAAGGAAATGGCAAACCACTCCAGTATCTTTGCCAAGAAACCCCAAAACCAGATCGTGAAGAGTGGGACATGACTGAAAAATGACGAACAGCAACACATCTTATAAAAACTTTGCCTCGCCTCCAGCACCTACGAGAGTGCTCAGCACTCAGGGGAATTCATAAATAATATGGGCTTACATTTATCAAATGTTTGAAGGTTTGCAGCACATTTCCGTCACAGATACCCCACGGGATAGATGATGGAGGAACTTGAGGAACTAGAGTCTTGAAGAAGTTGTGACTTGTCTGAAGTCATACATATAATTGTGGCAGAGTTGGTTTAAACCCACTTCTCTTCAGACTCTTGAGTCCAGGGTTCTTCCCAATATATCATCCTGTCTCCTCCTAAATGCACACGGAATGAATGTATGAAAGAAAGCTCACCTATGAAAGAAAGCACTTTACAAAGTACATTCATCACAAGAATGCAGTGAGAGAGGTAAAGCGAGAGTGTCTTCATTTTACTAATGAGGAAACTGAGACTCATCAAGTTGACATGACGTGTGCAAGGTCACTCAGTTGGCAAATGGTAGAGGCCAGATTTGACTTTGGGCTTTGGGGGCCTAGGCTATTTCATAGGATCATAGATTTATAGCTTGACAAGACCTTAGATGTCATCGTGTTGACCACCCTCATTCTTGGGTTACTGAGATTCAGAGAGGTCACAGCAAGTAAATGTCATGGGATTTGACCTCTGGTCTTTCTGGCTAAATCCAGCAGTCTATCCATTATGCTGCGTACCACATTGCCTCTGTGGTGTTTTCATATCTCTGGCTGCCCCATTTTCATAGCTTTGGGGAGGATAGTAGCCCTCCCTTCCTGACTTAACTGGGGAATTTACCATCAATCTCTTGATATCATTGTGATGTCAAGTTGCTGGGATCCATGCAAAATACCAATACACACTCTCCCTCTCTCTCTCTCTCTCTCTCTCTCTCTCCCCCTCTCTCCCTCTCCCCCTCTCCCTCCCTCTGTCTCCCCTTCTCTCCCTCTTTCTGCCTTCTTCCCCCTCTCTCTACCTCTTCCTCTCTCTCTCTC